TTTTCCAATCGCCCTGTTTTCTCCAAGCTGGCCCGGCCTGTTGTCGTCCCGTCCGTTGCCCCTCTTCCACTTGTTGCCCGATGGTTGCGCCCCACTTCCCACAGCCCACCTGTCCCCTCCTCTCGAATGAATCACACGACTCTGGACCACATTCAAGTTGCTGCTTGCCATTGGTCGGGTGGGTAGAGTCAGAGGTAGATGTAGAGGGGGGCAGGGAGCGACGAAGAGACCAGGAGGGCTCTGGCTCGATCGAGGGGCAGCGAGGACGCGTGCTGCTGGGCCTGGCCCGACCCTGGGGCCCTCTCTCGTTTTTTCCCCTTTGCGCAGGCCGGCCAAGCGCGAGTCGCGGAGAGAGAGAGAGAGGGAGAGCAACACTTCCTGATTCCACTCCACCTCATGACGCCACCCAGCAAAAGCCTCTTGACCGCCAACCACCACCTTCGTCCATCGCCGCCGTCTCAGCGCATCCGTCACCGGCCACCGGCCATCCTCTCTCTCCATCTTCCCGGTACACCCTCGCGGCTAGCCTGCCCGCCCCTCGCCGTCGAATTCGATCCGCCCTGCATGCTCACTTGAGGCATCCACCTCGCGGTCCACCGCTGCAGCGGTTCCCACCCGTTGCACCTCATCGTCTGCTTCCCCTGCTTCGCCCCGCCATTCCCCGCTCTACCCGACTAGCAGCAGCATAGCGCGCACCTGCAGCCGCTCCGCCTTCGACCACGATGAGCATCCGCAGCCCTCCCACCGTCATATCGCTCCTCTCATCCCCCTCGCCACCTTACGGACGCCCCTCTGACGCAGAGCCGTCCGCCAACGCCAGCGCCACCACGTCCAGCTCAACAACGAACACCGCCCCACGGCGCCCCGTCAACTTCCTCGCCGCTCCACCGCAACCACCTCCGCCGCGTTCTGCTCTCAAACGGCCCAGATCTCCCACCATCCCGACATCGGCGCCCAGCAAGCTCCAGAAGAGCAAGGACGACTCGGCCGCGCCACGCTTCCAACCCAGACTCAGCACCAACTCCTGGCAGCGATCGCGCTCCCACCAGGTCGTCGGTCTCTCGGACGACCCGCCACAGCGGCGCACCATCCTCGGCCTCTTTCCACGAGAGCTTGTCTTTGTCATCCTCGCCCACCTCTCCTTTGGCGACATCCGCTCCCTGCTCAAGGCCGACAGGAGGCTGCGACCGTTTGTCCACCTGCGCTCCTTTGCCGTCTTCCGCAAGCAGCTCGCCCACTTCCAGTACCACGAGCGCAGGTTCAACGAGCTCGTCAAACGCAAGGGCGATGCCGTCTACCAGTCCCAGTCGCAAGCCGACTCCGGCGCCGATCCTTTCGGCGAGCCCATGCCCTCGATCGAAGGCGCGTCGATCGCTGGCAGCAGCAGCGGCAGCAGCGGTGGACCCGAGCAGGCGGGTAAGGAGGTCGAGTCCGCCTTCCTTGAAGCCTACATCGAGGCGCTCCAGGCCTTGGGCAAGGAACGGCCACCATGGTCACCGTCGGAACTCGTCGCCATCGTCGGGAGGTCTTTCCCCGGCCCGAGGTTGGGGGCCCGACTGCAGCAGTTCGTGACGGACCTCCTGCTGGGCGAGGTGCAGGCGTCGCAGGCGTTTGAGGTGGTCGACGGCCCGACGGCAGTCGAGCTGCTGTGCCTCATACGACTCTTCTGCGGCCTCCTCCGCATCTCGCGCGGCTTCGCAAAGGAAGGCACCACCCAGTCGGAAGCGTCGCAGACGGCCCACTACATCGACGCCGACTGCCGCGACGCCGTCCGCGGCTTCTTTCAACCGCGGCATCGACGCCTGAGCGGTGGCGGTGCGTTCCAGCTGACCGACGAGCAGAGCCGCTTCGTCAATCGCGACGTCCGCGTCGGCGACCTGATCAAGGTCCAGGCCTTCGCCGGCACGGGCAAGACCCGCTCGTTGGTGGCCTACGCCACCGCCCGGCCCCACCAGCGCTTCCTCTACATCGCCTTCAACACCCACGCCGCCGCCGACGCGCGCTACCGCTTCCCCTCCAACGTCGACTGCCGCACCATGCACTCGGTCTGCCTCGCCCAGTTCCAGCCCGCGCAGAACCAGAAGCTCGCCTCGATCAAGCCAAAGGACGTCGTTTCGCTTTTTGAGCAGGAGCTGCCGCGTGGCCAGAAGACGGTCCGTCCGAGCAGCATGCTCGACTCGTCGACCCAGCAGCAGGATCCCAAGCTCACCGACACCGCCGTCGCATCGTACGTGCTGCGCACCCTGAACCAGTTCATGTACTCCGACGACCGCACCTTCGACGTCGCCAAGCACGTGCCCAAGCAGATGCAGCGCGAGACGGACCTGCCTCCCGGCCGCGTGCTGCGCCTGGCCGAGCGGCTGTGGGAGGCGGTGCGCAAGGGCAAGACCGAGCAGGGCCGGCCTGTCCACTGCCCGCACGACGCCTACGTCAAGATGCTCCAGCTCACGCCGCCGAGCCCGCCGAGCGCCTTCTTCGCAAAGTACGACGTCCTCCTCTTGGACGAGGCGCAGGACCTGTCGGCGGCCCAGGTCAGCATCCTGCTGCGCGCGCGGCGGACCTGCGGCATCCTCGTCGTCGGCGACGCCCACCAGAAGATCTACGGCTTCCGCGGCGGCACGGCGAGGGCGTTCAACGACCAACTCTATGCGCCCACCGCCACCTTCCAGCTGACTCAGAGTTTCCGCTTCGGCGACTCGGTGGCCAAGGTGGCGAGCAAGATCCTCGGCCTCAAGGCGCCCGCGCCGTGGCAGGCGCGCCCCGACCGCCCTTGGCTGTCCGGCGTCAAGGGCGACGGCGACCGGGTCTACGTGCTGCGTGCCGCACATTCGCCCGATGCCGGGTCGGGTCCGACGGGCACGATGGCCGCGGCGGTCGCTGCCGCCACCACACAGCCTCTCCATGGGTCAAGCAGCGGCGGCGGCGGCAGCAGCAGCAGGCAGGGGATGTCGGGCCAGGCGCAAGCGACCAGG